CATTTATTGTGTTCATGGTATCAAGACTTTATCTCAGTTTAACTCCTTATAAATAGGTTTATAATGATAAAAAAGCACGATATTCAGAAAATAACTGTTTAATTCAGAAAGTTTGAAATAATTTTAAGACTGATATTTTCGTCTCTTTCCGCTTGTGTTTGTAGAAAAGATAAAAGCAGAATTATCTGATTGACTTTTCTTACATAGAGCTCATAATTTACACAGCTGGGCACCAGTTTTATTATGTTTATATCTCCATTTACCATCAGGTGTGTGTTTGTGGTGTTCATCCATATAAGTCCATGTGCTGATCTGCAGGAATTTGCAGGCGAGGGCCTCCGCACTCTCGCTCTGGCCTACAAGGATTTGGACGAGGAGTATTTCAACGGGTGGAAACAGCGCCACCATGAGGCGAGCACCGAGCTGGACGACAGGGAGAGCAAACTGGACGCGCTGTACGAGGAGATAGAGAAGGATCTGCTGGTAGGAAACCAAAGAAGAAGAAAGTCTGAGTGGAGCTCAGGAAAATCAAAGTGTAACTGCTAGTTTTACGTGTGCAGCTGCTGGGAGCCACGGCCATAGAAGACAAGTTACAGGACGGAGTTCCTCAGACCATCGAGCAGCTGTCCAAAGCTGACATCAAAGTCTGGGTTCTGACCGGTGACAAGCAAGGTGTTTATCAGCTTTTAATCTAATTACACTTCTTGTTTTACAATCAAGGATTTTAGCACAAAATGTTGAAATAAAAACTGAAAAATGTCAAGAAGGTCTGGAGAATGACCGTTTTATCAAACTGTTTATTAGAAACTCTTTAAAGATGCTGAAATGTGTCTAAAAGTGTGAATCTCTCTGGTCAGTCAGGGTTTTTTAGCTGATTTTAACACCATAAGTTTGTATTTATAATACAATCTCACCTTTAATTTTTAAAACTCAGCTCATGGAAAGTGTGTTTTTGCCTGTTGCTGTTAAATAATCTAACTATTGTTGTTTCTTTGCGTTACAGAAACAGCAGAAAACATCGGTTACTCGTGCAACTTACTGCGCGAAGAGATGAACGAGGTTTTTATCGTCTCAGGAAGCTCTTCTGATGATGTCAGACAAGAACTCAGGTCCGAAGAAACTCATTTAACCTGTTTCAATTGTTTAGTTTTTAAATGTTTTTTAATTGTTTAGTTTTGAAAATACTTTAAAATTGTTTAGTTTTTTATGTTTTTTAATTGTTTAGCACAGAGGTTCTCAAACTGGGGTCTCTGGACCCCTAGGGGTCTGCGAGAGGTATCTTGGGGGTCCCCAAACATAAAATGTTGATTTTGTTTTTATTTTTAAAATCGCATGGAGAACAATGAACTAATAAAACAAACATAATAAACTTTATAAAATATATATATTCCCATGGCATTTAGGGGTTGAAATGACAATAAATTATCTTTTAAAACAGCCTTTGGTTTATGAGGGGGTCCCTGGAATTTTTTTCGCAGTTGTAAGGGGTCTCCAGACCCAAATGGTTTGAGACCCCCTGGTTTAGCACACATTTTTGGCACTTATCTTATTCTGCAATTTTTGTGCTATTTGTACAATTTATATATCCAAACATTCAGCTCCTTCACGACATTCCTGCTACGACTTTTAGTACTTCAGCACTTTATACTTTTTGAGTTATTTAGCTTTTTCAGACATTTTTTCTCATTGAAATAGATTCAGCACCCTTAAAATCCTTCGAAATGTTTCTACGTTACTGAACCTTTTAGCTTTTGTTCTGGTTTGACTTTTTCAGCTTCTTTGTTCTAATTTCAGCTTCTATTTTGCAGATTTTACCCTTTTTATGCCCTTTTTTTTAGATATTCTGACCTTTTCTGCTAATCTTCTGGTAATTTAAACTTTTTGTGCTTCTTTCAACTGTTTTCTGCTAATTTTAGCTGTTTTTTTTTTTGTGTTTTCAGCTACTTTAGCTACTCCCATTTTTCATCTTTTGTTCTGGTTCTGCTTTTTTTCCATTTCTTTACTGATTTCTGCTTATTTTCACTTCTGTTAGCTTTTTTAGCCACTCTACTGCTAATTTCAGCTTTTTGTGTTGCCTTCCATTTCTTTTTTTATTTTTAGTTTTTTATTCTATTTATTTAAATTGTTTTCTGATCATTTTATCAGTTTTTTTTGTGATTTTAGCAACTTTTTTAGTTATTGGAGCTTTTTTCAGTTAAATTCACTTTTTGTGATAATTTCATCTTCTTACTGCTTAATTTATCAAACATGCTCATTCTGTTCCTTTGTGCTAATTTCAGCTATTTCAGCTACATTTGTAGCTAATACAGGATAATAGTTTCAGCTTTTTTGCTATTCAGCAAAACTCTTTCAACTTTAAGCGTTCACATAGCATTTTCACAGTTATTAAGTGTTTTTGTGTATCCATCTTAAGTTTTTTTAAATATTATTTGGAGCAGAAATGCACAGACCTCCATGAAACCAAGCGCAGCAGAGAACTCTGTGTTTTTACCTGAAGAGAAGGGTGAGGGAGTGAAACCGATGAAAGATGAGGTGGTTAATGGAGAGTACGGCCTTGTTATCAACGGACACAGTCTGGTACGTCAGGCATGTCCCTGCTTAAACCAAAATACTTCAAGGATTGTTAGAAATTATTAACGTGGAGAAAAAGCAGAGGTATTATCTGCACCTTTCTGTCCATCAGGCGTTCGCTCTGGAGCGCAGCACGGAGCTGGACTTCCTCCGGACGGCCTGCATGTGTAAATCAGTGATCTGCTGCAGGGTGACCCCTCTGCAGAAGGCTCAGGTGGTCGAACTGGTCAAGAAATACAAGCAGGCGGTCACGTTGGCCATAGGTGATGGAGCGAATGATGTCAGCATGATCAAAGGTACCAAAAAACAACAGCAAAAAAAAAAAAATCCCAATCACAGCTTTATTTAATGTGTTTTTGTGAGCTGTGGGAAACTGTTTTCAGAAAATAAAAACAGCTTCAGACATTTCAGATGCTCTCTCCCCCCCTTCCAGCGGCTCATATAGGCGTGGGCATCTCGGGTCAAGAGGGCATGCAGGCGGTCCTGTCCAGCGACTACTCCTTCGCCCAGTTCCACTTCCTGCAGCGCCTCCTGCTGGTGCACGGCCGCTGGTCCTACCTGCGCATGTGCAAGTTCCTGCGCTACTTCTTCTACAAGAACTTCACCTTCACCTTCGTCCACTTCTGGTTCGCTTTCTTCTGTGGCTTCTCTGCACAGGTGGGACTCTCAGACACTGTTTCATTCAGTTTCATGAGATAAAAATCTTTAGATATTATTCAAATTATCTGTTTAGTGTCTTAAAACAGGTCTCTCTTTGGTGTCTGCCTGTTTCAGACGGTGTATGACGAGTGGTTTATCACCCTCTACAATCTGATGTACACTGCACTACCTGTTCTGGGAATGAGCTTGTTTGATCAGGTAACGTGATGCTTTCTCCATTTAAAGACTTTTTTTGTTGATTTCTTATGAGAAAAAAAAATCTAGAGTTTATTAAAATATGAGAATAAAACATCTGTTTCAGCATACTTGCTCTGTTTTGTCTTCTTATACTTCTTTTCACTTTTAACTACAGCTCTGCTTCCTTTAGCTCGCAGTTTTTCTGAAAATAGCCACAGTTTTGTAGGCTTTAGCATGCTTTGTTACCTTTAGCCTTTTTTGTACAAGTTTTATCTTCTGTGTGATTTGCTTGTTTTAGCTACTACTTTGTTACTACTTTGTTTTGCTTCTTTTAGTTTTTAACTACAGCTCTGCTTCCTTTAGCTTGTAGTTTTTCTAATATTAGCCGCAGTTTAGCATGCTTTGTTATTTTTAGCCTCTATTGTAGAAGTTTTATCTTTTGCATGATTTGCTATTTTTAGCTACTACTTTGCTACATTTAGCTATTGTTTGGATTCTTTTAACTTTTGACTACATCTCTGTTTTTATAGCTTTATTTTTTCTAATAATAGCCACAGGTTTGTTGACTTTATCTTTAGCATGATTTGCTAGCTTTAGCTACTATTCTGCTACATTTATTGTTTTGATTCTTTTAAGTTTAGTTCTGCTTCTTTTAGGTTTTAGTTTATCTTTTTTTGTCACTTCAATAGAAAACGAAACCAAATGTTATTAGTTTATTTATTTCTTCATCATCAGTGACTTTTTTTAAGTGAAGAGAAAATAGAGACAGAGAGAAAAACAGAGAGAGAAGTAATTAGAAAGATTGAAATAGCGATTAGAAGTATATTAAATATACACCAACAAAACACAGGACCACACACCCAACATCTGTCCGCTCACCTGAAAAATAAATGGATAAATACATGGAGGGCATATATAAAACTATACACATACCCATACATATATAAAGATATACATACATACATGCCTACATTCATAAATATTGTCCGTAAATACACACAGACATATATACACACTCAGTGACCAGTCAGAACCCCCCGGATCAGAACACCTGTTTGTGAGCAGTTGTGAACATGCGTGTATATACAAGATTTCTCCAATGGAATATTTAATAGTGACTGTGGAGGACCGAGACCCAACCCCCAAGACACGAGGCAGACATAGGGAAGACCAGAGCCCAAGGGCCCGAGAGGGATCCAGAGCGCAGAGCCCCAAGGGGCACCCGCACAGGAAGATCCGCCCACCCACCCCCCAGATCAGACCATAGGGGAGAACTGGGTGAGTCCCCCCAGCGACCACACACACAGTCCCCGGGGCCAGCAGCGACAAACTCATGAGCCCGACCGGCACCCGCCATACCAGAGCAGATCCAGGAAAGGGCACAGAGGTCCGGGCCCACAGGGTGCACCCCCTCCAGGCCAAAGCCCGACAGGTCCAGAGGCCCCGAGCCCCAACAGGCAATCACCCGGCCAGGCCGGCACACACCCCAGCGCCCAGCCCCAGACCCCGGGAACCCCTAGCACGCCGGCGGCCAGCCGCACACCCCATCGGGGGCCGAGTAGCGGCGGGCCCCCAGATAAACCAGCAGTAGGGGCAGCCCAGACCGCAGCCTGACAAATACCCAAACATACACAATCGCACCATCCCACCCTCATCCTCACCCCCATTCAGTCAAAGACATACAAGGACGCCACATTCCACTCATACCCCCGATACACACTCTATACCCCCCAGGTCCAGGACATGTACCCACCCCCTATTGGAGACAGCACACACCTGAACCCAGGAGGTAGACCCAATCATTCTGAGGTGGAGAGGAACAGGTAGCCAAGGCCCGGCCCGGGCCGCACCAGGACGCCCGGCCAGCCCCCTGCCGCAGAGAAGCCATACCCATGACCACCCCGCCACACCGCCAACGACCAAGTGCATCTCCCCAGCCGTCCACTCCCCAGAACCTGGGTTTTAGTTTAGGTTTTAGTTTATCTAATATTAGCCACCATTTTCCTGACTTTAACTTTAGCGTGCCTTGTTACTTTTAGGCTCTGTCGTAGAAATTTTACCTTTAGCATGATTTGCTAGTTTTAGCTACTATTCTGCTTCCTTTAGATTTTGTTTTACTGTTTTAGATAACTCTTTGCTACCTTTAGGTTTAGCTCATTTTAGCTTCATCAAAACCTTTGCACTGCATTTCTGTTTCTAGTTTTCAGCACGTTATTCTTTTTCTCTGTCGCCCCCTGCTGGTCAGGATGTGAACGACGTGTGGAGTTTCCAGCATCCGCAGCTGTACGTTCCGGGTCAGCTGAATCTTTACTTCAGCAAGAAGGCCTTCTTTAAATGTGCCATCCACAGCTGCTACAGCTCCCTGGTGCTCTTCTTCATCCCCTACGCTGCTTTACAGGACACAGTGAGGGATGATGGGAAGGACGTGGCCAACTACCAGTCCTTCGCCCTGCTCACACAGACCAGTCTGCTGTTTGCAGTCAGCATCCAGGTAGAAGGGAACATTTTAATAAGTTTAAACTGTACACTGTGTAAAATGAGTATACAATGTATGATTTGTGTGTTTTGTGCAGCTGGGCTTGGAGATGTCTTACTGGACGGCGGTGAACACCTTCTTCGTTTTGGGCAGCTTGGTCATGTATTTTGTCGTCACGTTCACCATGTACAGCGACGGCATGTTCCTCCTCTTACCGTCAGCGTTTCCTTTCATAGGCGAGTAATAAAAAACAGCAGCTCTCTGACAGGTTCACACACATTTCAACCACACAGTAGTGATAAATAAAAAGTCTTAAATGTTTTGTTTTTGTTCACCCAGGATCGGCTCGGAACTCGCTGAACCAGCCCAACGTTTGGCTGACCATCGTCCTCACCTCCATCCTGTGTGTCCTTCCTGTGGTGACGTACCGCTTCCTGTTGATCCAGCTCTGCCCCACCATTAATGACAAGGTACAGGACCGAAGCACAGCTGCACTCACACTTTTCTTTTTCAATATGTGGATTTAAAAAAACAAAACTACTAGTTGAATAAGAACTGAATTAAGAAAACGTAAAGCAAATTTTACATTTACTTTATAAGTAAATGTGAAGTAAATGCGTCATTTACTCAGTGTTGGTTGTGGACCATGTAGACGATCTTTTAGATGATGTTGTTGATGACTTGTAGACGATCTTGTAGACGATCTTGTTGATGACTTTGTAGACAATCTTGTTGACGATCTTGTTGATGATTTTGTAGACGATCTTGTTGACGATCTTGTTGACGATCTTGTAGACGATCTTGTTGACGATCTTGTTGATGACTTTGTAGACGATCTTGTTGATGATCTTGTTGATGATCTTGTTGACAATTTTGTTGACGATCTTGTTGATGATTTTGTAGACGATCTTGTTGACGATCTTGTTGATGACTTTGTAGAAGATCATGTAGACGATTTTGTTGATGATTTTGTAGACCATCTTGTTGACGATCTTGTTGACGATCTTGTTGACGATCTCGTAGACGATCTTGTTGATGACTTTGTCGACGATCTTAGAGACAATCTTGTTGATGACTTTGTAGACCAGGGGTGTCAACAAAGTCCTCGAGGGCCGCTATCCTGCATGTTTTAGAGGTTTTCTTGCTCCAACACACCAGATTTTGATCGCTGGGTAATAAACAGGCTTCTGCCCAATTTGAAGAGTTAATTCAATCACTGAATCAGGTGTGTTGGAGCTGGAAAACCTCTAAAACATGCAGGATAGCGGCCCTCGAGGACTGGAGTTTGACACCCCTGTTGTAGACGATCTTGTTGACAATCTTGTTGACGATCTTGTAGACGATCTTGTTGATGACTTTGAAGACGAGCTTGTTGATGACCTTGTAGACGATCTTGTTGATAACCTTGTAGACGATCTTGTTGATGACCTTGTAGACGATCTTGTTGATGACCTTGTAGACGATCTTGTTGATAACCTTGTAGACGATCTTGTTGATGATCTTGTAGACGATCTTGTTGATAACCTTGTAGACGATCTTGTTGATGACCTTGTAGACAATCTTGTTGATAACCTTGTAGACGTTCTTGTTGATGACCTTGTAGACAATCTTGTTGATAACCTTGTAGACGATCTTGTTGATGACCTTGTTTATGAACTTGTAGATCATCTTGTAGATGATAAATCGTAAATGGACTGTACTTGTATAGCGCCTTTCTACCCAACCAGGATAGTCAAAGCACTTTCCACTACAATCTGTGCCCTCATTTACCCATTCACACAGCACTCTATCAGATCTCCTACAAAGCTAACATGTACAATCAACTATGGAGACTAATCAGTGCCAATCACATTCATACACTGATGGGACACACATCAGAGGCATTTGGGGTGAAGTATCTTGTCCAAGGACACAACAACTGACAGCTGGAATGGGGGATCGAACTGGTGACCTTCTGGTTCCAGAACGACTCCCATAACCACTCCGCCACAGCACCACCCGCACGATATTGTTGATGATATTGTTGATGATCTTGTAAAAGATCTTGTTGATGACATTGTAGATGGTCTTCCTGATGATCTTGTTGATGACCTTGTTTATGAACTTGCAGATGATCTTATAGATGATATTGTTGACGATCTTGTTGACAACTTTGTTTATGAACTTGTAGATGATCTTGTAGATTATATTGTTGACGACCTTGTTGACAACCTTGTTTTTGAACTTGTAGATGATCTTGTAGATGATATTGTTGACGATCTTGTTGACATTCTTGTAGACGATCTTGTTGATGATCTTGACGGTATTGTTGATTGTCTTGTAAAAGGTCTTGTTGATGATTTTGTAGATCTTGTTGATGATCTTGTTGACAGTCTTGTTGATGACCTTGTTGACGACCTTGTAGATGATCTTGTAGACACTCTTGAAGATGATCTTGTAGATGATCTTGATGATCTTTTAGACGGTCTTGAGGAGGACCTTATGGATGACCTTGTTGATGATCTTGTTTGGCAATCTTGATGATGACCTTGTAGACGATCTTGTTGACAATCTCGTTGACGATCTTGTTGACAATCTTGTTTCTGGCCTTGTTGATCTTGTAAATGACCTTGAAGACAACCTTGTTGACGACCTTGTTGTCTTCACAAACCTTCAGGTGATGTTCAAAGTCAGGCAGGCCAAAGCGACTCTTCCCCCTCCGCCTCGCCGGACCCGGATCCGCCGCAGCAGCACCCGCCGCTCGGGCTACGCCTTCTCGCACGCGCAGGGCTATGGGGAGCTGGTGACCTCAGGTCGGTTCCTGCGGCGGCCCGCCATAAGATCCGCAGGCTTCCCCCAGGTGGGTCGGACCACCACGGGCTTCAGCCCCATGGGCCGTTCGGCCGGTTACAGCCCGACGGGACGTCCCCAGAACTTAAAGGTCTCGGATGTGGAGGTGACGTCGCTGCAGATGTACAGGACGATCACAGACCCGCCCCTCTCGCACACATGATGATGGGAGTTTCCTGCTTCTACTTTAAAAAGACGCCTGCTCTTGGACTGATCAGGAAGATGTTTAATCCTCTGAGTGCAGAACTTTTCAGAGACTCCAGCTCTGAAAGCATCTCAGCTGCTCAGCCAGCAGCGCAGCTCCTTCTGTTACCAGAAACAGGAGGAGACACACTGAGCTTCCAGATGGAACCAACCGGAGAATTAAACTTATTTAACGGGAGGAAAAAATGACGAGGCGTCATGTTTACAGACGATACAACTGTTTATTTTATGCTGGGAATCCAGATGCAAAGCATATTGGGAAATATTTAACTTTTGTACTTTAAATTACTTATTTTTTTAATTTTAATTTTTTATTTTTAAGTTTTAGTTTTTTTCCTGAAATTTGTGTGGGCAGTGGAAACTGTATCACCGACAAAATGACAAATCAGTCTTGAAAACAGCTTTTTGTTCTTAAACAACTGTTTTTTAACTAAAATAGTTTATTTACCCATTAATAGTTTTGCAAATCTGTCAGATTGATTGTTTCCTTTTGAGCTATTTGTTCTGTTTTAAAATCAAACAAGTTGAATTTAGAAAAAAGTAGACGTATCAGTGTCACAGTGCAGTTAGTTTATGAAATATAGAGAGCTTGAATTAGTTTGAGTGCAAATTATGAATCGCTTAAATTTTCAGACAAAAAGCCATAAATATGAAAAAAATCAGTTTAAAAGGTCTGGATTCGTTCTTTTGTTTTTATTTCAAAACAAAATTAGAAAATTTGAATAATCAAAGTTATTTTTAAAAAAATCAAGGCTATTTTCTTTTTTTGGATTTTGTTTTGAAACAGAAAAAACAGAACAAACTTTACATGGATTGTTCAGAAAAATGATTTTTAATCGTCTCCGTTCCGCTGTGATTTGTTTAATTCACAACTTATTAAACCTAATAATACAAAACTTAATATTTAATTTGAGAATCAACATACATAAAAAGCCATTAAAATTATTTTTAAAAGTGATAAAGAAATATTTAAAAACAAAGATAAACGTGAATATTTATTTGTGTTTCAGGCCATTAAAAAATCTAAATCTAATTAAAGATGTAAAAACCAGTGTTATGATTTCTGTCTGTGTTTAGTGTTTTTATGTTTTGTTTCTGTCATGTTCATGTTTCCTTCCTCCTGTCTTGCCCTTGCTCCAGCCCCACCTACTCACACCTGATCCTCATGTGTCTCCCTCAGGTGTTTGTTGTTAGTAATTGTTGTCTGTGTATTTAAGCCCAGTCTTGTCACTGTGTCTTTGTCTGATCATTGTTTGTTAGTTGGTATGTCCATGTTTAGACTCTTGTTCAGCTCTAGCTTTCTGGTTCCTGATTTTTGTTATTTATCTGTTTTTGCCACCACGTTGGCTTTTTATTTAATAAATTTTGTTAAACTTTCTTGTCTTGCCTGCCTGCCTGCATTTGGGTTCACCCTGCCTCACAACTATAACAACCAGGGGAAGGAGCTAAAAGGGGTGAAAATAAAAAGAAATCAAAAACAACTAAAGGATTAAAATGTTCTTTTAAAGACTAAACATTAAACCAAAATCCATCTGTCCCAAATCAAACTGATGTTTTCTTTTTACTTTTCAACCCTGAAGCTTGTTTACTTCCTGGTAGTTTTGGATCTTTTAAACCAATAAAATCATTATTTAGAACATCTTATGAGCTTTAAAATTATCTGCAAAACCAGAAACATCTTCCTGTATTTGTTTATTAATCTGTGAACACTACAAAGTAAACCAGGAGAATATTAAATATCTTCTGTGACAGGTTTAAAGTTTTTTGCATGTTTCTGATTTTTTTTTCCATCTGTCCAGTTTTTGGTGCTTTTTATTTTAAATCAAATTTGAAATTAAACCTAAAATCGACACAAATGCTGCCTAAAACTACCTGTGTAGAGTTTATTTTGTATTTCATAATAAATGTAAAATATAATCATTCATAGCACATTACTGTAATGGTTTAGCTAAAAATCTCAACATAAATCATGCTTTTTTATTTAAAAAGGTAGCTAAATATTAATTTGCATTAGGAACAAAGTCACTTCTGGATGTGACAATTAGCTGTACTTATGGGTTTAAAAACAATTTAAATGCAGCTTATTTTTTATCTAAACTTAATTTTTACTTATTGAAAAACAAAATCAGATGCTGTTTTGATATTTTAATGAAAAGTGATGGGATACAGTTTTTATAAATAATATTAAAATAATTTAAAGTTTTATAAATAAAATGACCTCTATGATTGTTGCCCAGAATGTATTAATTAACCYAAGAATTTTTGTTTTATGGTACATAAATGTAAAATAATTTCTTATCAGGCATAATTTAATGCTGGAAATGAAAAATAATGTCGTTCCCCTTTTAAAGGAAACATTTAAGTGAAAACCTGTTTGTTACAAAGTTTGCTGATTTCTGTCTTTTCTTCTAACGATGGAAACATCTTGACATTTTGTGGCAGCTGGCAGATCCAACAATCTGCAGAGGAAATGCACATGTACAGCATTTATTTAGAAATTCATAGAGAGAGAAAACAAATTTAGTTTAAAAAGAGATCCGACTGCAGAGTTCTTACAAAATAAAGTTTGTTGTAACAAAACAAAGACTGAATGTATTAAAAGTGACAGAAGCTGAGAGCATAAACGAACATTTTAATATTTACCAGTATGTTAAATATATTTGCATGTCTTGCCCCAAATCACTGTTGTTTTTTTTATTGGATGTATTTTTAGAACTGCTTTTTTTAAAGTTTCCTATCATTTTATACCTTTTAAAATACATTTGCTGCAATTAAAAGGATGTGAACAGATCTGAATTTGTGATTTGCATTTGGTCGTAACTGAACAGTTTATACACACACACACACATTACCCAACATGCATGCTGGGTTGTGTTTATCATGTTAACTCCACTCAGGAAGGCACTGTGGTGGAGATTAAATCAGGGGCGGAGCCAGAGGGATGGCTGGGGTGGCACCTGATTGGCCACCCCAAGGACCACCCTAAAATAATTGACAAGTGGGTGGGAATCTTGGATTTTGTATTTGCATTTAGATTTTTAAAGGTTTTTTTTATTATATAATATAAAAATATAAATTTTCTTCACTATATATGTTTTAAAAGTGGCTCCTTGTAAAATTAGCATTAGCATTAGTTGTTAGCTTAATTTGGAATTAGCGTTGACGTTCAGAATGTGATCATTCAAGCTGCTCCACAGCATACTTAATCTCAGTAAGTCTTAAAATGGTTGAATTAAAGAATAGAACAGAATAGAATAGAATAGAATAGAATAGAATAGAATAGAATAGAATAGAATAGAATAGAATAGAAGAGCCTTTATTGTCCTGCAGCGGGAAAAAATCGGGTGTCAGAGAAGCATCAAAATCAACACTTACTAGCCATGATACAACTACTAATAATAAAAATAAAAATAAAATATGAAGAATTGTGCAAGAATGGAAAAAACGATGTTTTGTTTCAGAATCAGACGTTTCGTTTTTTTGAGTGTTAAAAACAATCCCAACAGACCAATAACTGTAAAGTGAAGTATCACAATACAGACAAGAAACACAGATGTGCAATTACAGCAGAGTATATAGTGCAAATTATTGTTCAATTGTGTAATTACAATGAATAGTAACAGTCTAAAAAAAGCCTTTTAAGATTAGCATTAGCATTAGTGGTTAGCTTAGTTTGGGATTAGCATTGACAATCGTCATGCGGTCATTCTTAGCTACTCCACAACAAATTATAGCTTTTTTAAAGTTAGCCGTGGCCATCTTGAATATTTGATTATCATTTAGAATTTGGTAAAGCTTGTTTTCGGCTACTTCTACACTAATCTTCAGTTTTTTGTGTCTAAAAATAGCTGAATAATAAATTGGGACTAGCTATCAGTATGTTTTTTTAGGAACTATAATACAAAGCACTTTGGCCACCCCTGTGTCAATCTTGCAAAAAACAAAAAGTCTAGCTCCAGCCCTGGACTAAATCCCTGGTTCTTCTTGCTGGAAAGTGAACCCTCTGACCTCTGACCTCATAATGATGAAACAACAGTAAAACTGTCCACCCACAGTTAAAAACCTCGCATGTTATGTTAATGTTAAATTACGAGTAAAATGTCAGGATAACAAAATGGGATTTTCTTTAAAAACAATTCAAAACAACAAAAACAAAACTAAGCCTTCACTGTCCAAACAAAGCTACGGATCAAAGGTTCAAACGCACTCCTGCTCTTACACGCCACCTCGTCCTGCTCTCTGATTGGCCGGGAACAAAAGAACCTAAAGGGGGCCCGAGTAAACACTTCCACAGGTAGGTGAGGGAGCAGCGGATCGGGCTGCGGGCTCGGATCACCTTTCAGTTCTGGCTGCAGGATCCTCGGGGTGGGATGACAGAACAGCAGACAGCTCAGGAGGATGTGAGGAGGAGCAACAGAGGAGCTGCAAAACACGAGGAAAGAGATTATCAGTGAGTCAAACTGGGATTTCTGAACCGCTTTTCCTGTTCTTGTTGTGACAGTTTAGGCCTGGCTTTTTAAATGAATCACTGCCAACGAATGGCAACATTTTAAAGAAGAGTTTAAATAATCTGCATGAAAAAGTTACGACTCAAACTGAGACTTTGATGAATATTCTGTTCCTCTGGTGCTGTTTCAGAGTTTACATCTTCTTCGTCTGTTTCCCTAAACTGTTTAATGTTTCCATCTCCAGCCATTTGTAAACATCAAAGCTTTTTCAGCAGCTTAAATAACAGTGTTTGAGGCCTTGCAGGCGTCTAAAACTCAAAATATAAGAGTTGAAAACGAATCATGTGCTCAAGCTGAGCTAACTTTGCTAAAACCTTATGTTTACTTTAGAATGATGAGTTTCACATGTTGACAACACAATCATTACTCACTGTTTAGATGAAAAGTGCTAATATTTGAATAATTGATTGAGCTGTGTGCTGATTGGCTGGAGATAAAGTTGAAGCCACTCCTCCAAACCATCAGGTGATCCCCATGAATACAACATTTATGACATGGATCTGATTTCTAAGGATTCTGTTAGAAAAACTTTGCTGTTACAACAAAGTAAGCTTATTGCGGGAAGGTTCAGGTTGAATATTTTACTCCTCGTCGTTTGTTCGTAGTTCTGATGTTGAGAACGTGACGGAGGAGCAGCAGAGCTATGGCAGGATGGTTGGAGAGTCTCTGCAGGCAGCTCCACAGGAGCAGCAGGAGCCGTCAGGCAGGAGGAAACCTGCGTTTGTCAGGTGAATACCAAGTATTCGTGTTGTTTCACTCAGATTTCATCCAGTTTTTATGGACGGTTGTTCTGCAAAATGTCAACTAATGTGATGATATCTGCAGTTGCAGGATCCCTAAGGTCCTCTTTGTTGTTTAGTCCTCTCTTTGTTTACCTGCAGGTCAAAGACTTTTGACAACTCCTTGCTGACTCAGATCCAAACAGACTCAGACTCTAAGATAGAGAGAAAGAAGTCTCACTACAGCCAGGTGAGCTGTCATTAACTCGGATGCGTATTTTATTATGTCAGCTGTTGAACTGGAAAAAGGTGTCAGCAGTGAGGCTTCACACCAAGTGGAGATGTTTTGTTCACAAGTGGTTGCAGAAGGTTGACCAATCAGTGTCTTCTCTGCAGTAATGAAGGTGTTGTTGCATAAAAAGAACTGAGCTGAGAGGTGAGGATGGATGGTTGGTTGGATGGTTGGTTGGATGGATGGATGGATGGATGGATGGATGGATGGTCGGTCGGTCAGGTGGATGGTCGGTCAGTTGGTTGGATGGATGGATGGATGGATGGATGGATGGTTGGTTGGATGGATGGATGGATGCATGGATGATGATGGATGGATGATGGATGGATGATGGATGGAGGATGGATGCATGGATGATGGATGGATGGATGCAACTGTGGGTGGTTGGATGGTTGGTTGGATGGATGGATGGATGGATGGTTGGATGGATGGATGGATGGATGGTTGGTTGGATGGATGGATGGATGGATGGATGGATGGATGGATGGATGGATGGATGGATGGATGGAT